AGTTGTGGGTGGAAAGGCAGAAGAATAACCAAAACAACATGCCCTACTTAAAAAAGCAGAAAGCCCTAACATGTTGTTATTAGTGAAAGATATAGATACACTCATGTTTAATGGAAACTATGATATATAGAAACTCTAAGAATTTTACCAAGTTGTCCCATTTTTTTAAAAAAGAGCTAACACTGGAAAAGTTCACCAGAAAAACTGTGTCCTTTTCAATGCATTTCAACAGGCTGTTATGTTACCCAAAGTCTTATATAAAAAGACGCCTTGAAGTCAGAGCCAAAACAAAAAATTTTTTTTCTCTAGAGAAAAGTGCCTTACTTTCTTCTTGTACTGGTCAATGAGAACTATACAACTTAAAATTTTTGTGTTGTGAGCTACCAGAATGCATAGCTAAATTCAATGCTCAGTAGTATTAACTATCTCAGTCCAGCTGTCTGGGCTTTATCTACTTTTTAAACCCCTTTTAATAAGTTAGCAAGTTGGTTTGTTCCTTCTTTGTTTTCATCCTGCTGGTGAGCCATCTTTAATCATTTTTGGAGGGCAAACTACTTGAATAAACACACACACACAAGTAGCACAACACCTTAACTGGAAGTGTGAAATGAAATATGAAATAAATTTACATAGTATACTGCAGATATTCTTCCTTTTAAAATAAATTTTAGCAGTTCTTAAACACTAAAACATGAATTACACTCTTCTAAAAGTATGTGATAAGATTACCAGCTTACAGCAGTGTGCTAATGAACTGAAAAGTAAACTATAAACCCAGAAGCAGCTTTACAGAAACTGGGGTAAAAATTTCTGCAGTAAAGTAAAAGCACACACAGTTCTGCAACAGATTTCTCATGCTGACTGACCCAATTCTAAATTACAGCTGACCCCCGAACAACTCGGGGATTAGGGGCACCCACCCTCCTCACATTTGAAAATCCGTGTGCAACCTACATTTGGCCCTCCATATCCACGGTTCTGCATGTGCAAATTCAACCAACCACGGATTGTGCAGCAGTACAGTATTTACTATTGAAAAAAATCTGCATATATGTGGACCCACTCAGTTCAAACCTCCGTTGTTCAGGTGTCAACTGTACTCATTCAGTGACAAATATTCACTGAATGTCCACTAAGTGCAAAGGTCCCTGCCCGTGTATAGCTTTTCATCTAGTGGATGATACAGACATAAACAATTGTCACACAAATAAATGTAAAATTGCAAACTTATAAGAAACTGATTAAATCCAAGAAAGGATAAACATTTGAAGTAGTTAAAAATAATTGTCAAGGACTTCCCTGGTGGTGCAGTGGTTAAGAATCCGCCTGCTAATGCAGGGGACGTGGGTTCGATCCCTGGTCGGGGAAGATCCCACATGCCATGGAGCAACTAAGCCCATGTGCCACAACTACTGAGCCTGCACTCTAGAGCCCGTAAGCCACAACTACTGAAGCCCGCGTGCGTAGAGCCCGTGCTCTGCAGCAAGATAAGCCACCACAATGAGAAGGCTGCACATCACAACAAAGAGTAGCCCCCGCTCGCTGCAACTAGAGAAAGCCTGCACACAGCAATGAAGACCCAACGCAGCCAAAAATAAATAAATAAGTAAAATAAAAATAAATCCAAAGACAGTCATTATAAAAAAAAATTGTCAAGACAAAGCTACAGTGTGAGGAAAACTATGAACACACAAGAACTCGATGATGGTAAGTGTCACCTGGACTGTTGTCTCTTGCTGTCATCTGCATAAGAAGTGCCATCTGCTTTCGCTCTGAGAGTGGATAACCAAAAAGAATGCTAACTGGAGTGGACTTCTTATTTCCAGCTTCCTTTTTTGTTTTCTTCTTTTCTGGACCTTCTTTCTCTGGAATTATTAATAAATATGTAAGAATCTGAAACAAATGTAAGCACTCAAAAGTAAAACATTAAGGAGACTTCTTAAAAATAGATGATACATGTTTATGAGAAACAAGGGTAACAGAGGAACTTGCGATAGGCAGACAAAAGGGCAGTAGGCTTTTATTATATAAGCAATTTTCTTCCTGAATGCTTTGAAAAAAGTCTTGTGTAATTTTCAGAAAATTAATAACATCGGGAAATTTAGTACTAGAAAAATTTTTAATGATTTGTTCTATTAAATAACACTTCAAACATTCCTTAGTTTTACATCTTTGAAATGCCTCTTTCATTCATTATAATTTTATTCTATTATTGATAAGTTTATACAGCAACGTTCCTTCATATTACCTCCCTAATTCCACTAATAATCTGTACAATCTTCTAAGGAGGTGTTTAACACAAAGCACATCACACGGAGTAATTATTGAAAAAAAACCGCCAAATCACTTTATTTCAGTCATAGGACAGCTGAACATGGAACAGTATTAATCAAAGCTAAAACTGAGCAAATTAAAGATTCTATATGTGTGCGGTAAGGGGCCGGGGATGGTTAACAGAGATCCTGAAAAGATTCAAAAATGTCTTAAGATTTTTCAAAGAGATTTGATCCATCATAAAGTCAGCTCTCAGATTTAGCTATTTGGCAAATCTCTGGCAATGGAGCCAGCATTCCCCATTAAGTGACAGAAAATTCAGATGGAACTGGATTCCATAGGTCAAAGAAATACAGGTGTCTGTTCCTTCCTTCCTTTAGGACTTTTCTGGGAATTAATTCAAGTGGCCCTGTGAGATGAGCTGCCTATTAACTGTCTAGGCATTTATTTCTTGGGAAACCCTGTACCAATATCTGGGATTTACTGATCCAGGTTTGTGGTATAAAGAGGGGCTACAAAATTAAATAAATTAGTAAAAATTTTAAATAAATGTAAAACAGCAAAAATGAGTAGAAGAAGAGAAGGCTTAGTAGTCAATATTGTGGTTTTTCTCAGGCAGATGTGGCCAGCAGCTAGACTACTCCAGGAGATAAGCATTTAGTGATCTGGTAAAATTTTCAAGAAACTAATAAAATTTGATATTATTTAAATATTACTGTACTATAATTTAAGACATAAAAACTTGCAGTGTACCACTTAGTTTATTAGGATAAACTGGCATCCTAATGACCTAGAAAAATCAGAGGTCCTAATGTTTAAACTCTGCTGCCCACAAATCACTCAAAATTCAACAGCTCCTAAAATGTCCATTTTGTTGATATGTGCAAAATTTTACATAACAGAAACAAAAAATTTCAAGATTTTTAATGTCAGCTTTTATTAATAGTTCTAATAGATTATTTTCTTATTTCTCATTTCACTGTCATTAATGATCCAATTAGTATAAAGCCAGTTTCAGCACAGTGTTTCACCCAATGTACTAAATGTATTATAAAGCCCTAAATATGTCTTTTGGAGAAGCCTGTTTTTTCCTGAAACATATACTTTCTCCTAATGACATTCTGTATGCTTTGGTTCTCTGATTTAATGAGAAACCACAATTGTTATTTTAATAGTTTTCCATCTGAATAACAAATCCTTAAATATAATGAATGTACTTCTCGTCCAAAATTAAAATATTTAAATAACAGTGTGAAAATTTTAAAAAAAGTAGAAAAGTTGTTTTAAGGAAATAAAGTAGAGTTTAGTAACTGGAAGAAGTAAAATTAAAAATACACAGTATCTATCCTTAAATACTTCCTAAAATTTTGGAAAAATTTTGTCTTTTATTTTCTTATTTGCAAAACTATTGATTTTTGATATTAACTGCATTTTAATACAATCTTTTAAGAAGAATATGCTCTAGGACTTCCCTGGCGGTCCAGTGGTTAAGACTCTGCACTTCCACTGCAGGGGGTGCAGGCTGGATACCTGGTCAGAGAACTAAGATCCTGCATGCTGTGCAGGCGCAGCCAAAAAATTAAAAAAAAAAAAAAAAAAGGAAATTCAGTGAGATTAAGATTAAAAGCAAAAATCAGTTGTGTTCCTCTATACCTGTAATGACCTCCTAAAAAAAAGAAAAAAAAGAATATGCTCTAAAGTGATATATACTCAGTTTACAGAAGAAAGTGAGACAATTATGAATTCATTATTAAAATTCCATGCTGCCAAATGAGCAAACATATAATTACTACATTTTGGAAAAGAACAAACAAATTGGATATACTCCAAATATTCAAGCAAAAATTCAAATTAAATACTAGCATTCAATATGAACTCTATTTTTTCTGAGTTACCTTAGCCATTTGTCTGAGTTCATGCTTTACATGAGACTGGAAAAGAAGGTAACTGAACAGGAGCTGGTGCAAGATAGCTAGGTTAGAGATAACTATATACCATTCTTCAAAATCATAAATCTTAGATTAGTATGTCCCAAAGTGTGAGTTGAAAGCATTCAAATCTGACTATCTGGGATCTATCCTATGAAGGACTTGTTTCCTCTGACCTGTCGTAAGTAAAAAATGATCATATACGATAATTTTAGAAAAAGTTAGGTACTTTTTCAAATTTCAGTATCTGAAATACATACTTATTTGTTTGAATGACAGATCAGAATTTTAAAATTTAAACACAGGAATACTGACACATATACTCAATCTATACTAATAGATTTGAAATTCCACTCAGCCACCTTAAGAGATTTTTAAAGAAAAATCCAGGTGATTCACTTAAGACTAAAGAAAAACAGATATGGACTTTTCAACAATCCAATATTCTTTATTTCACGGTTCAGAGGATCTTTAGAATTATGGAGATGTCTCAGTCTTATAATCCTGAAAATCAGTGCTTTCTTTCCAGGTCTTGCCAGAATAAACAGAAAGCTCAACATTGTCACATCCCAATTAAGTATATTAAGGAGAAGAGACAAAATTGTTTTTCTTGGGGAACTAGCTCATAAGCCTATTAGTGTCTCAAAAACTAAATACGACATTTTCCCACAAAGCAGTCACTGGACAAGGCATGAAAGAATGGGAGCTACGATTCAAATACAGATGAACATAATTAAATCAATCACATTTAGAATGTATATATACTTCAATTCTGGGGAAAAACGTTGCCAATTACTCTCTGGTTGTGAAGTACCTACACAATCTTTGACAGGTGGGTGCTTATATCTTCTGATTTCCAGCAATGATCCTCAGACCATGGATGGCTTCATTACATACAGCTCTTTTAGCTGCACCTTGGTACTTAGGAGCCCCACTTTAGAAAAGTACACCTAACTCCAGAGAAAGTGTAGGTCTGTTCAATTTAAGGCAGATTGTAAACTTGCCTCCCACCCCAAAATTTTGATAACTAAGTATCACTGACTCATCAGCTCAATTAACAGCTTTCAGCATAATTTTAAGAATAATTATTTGGTTCTATACCAACCCCACAAATTTTTAAAATGAATACAAGGCATATCAGAAACAGAAATTTTATTTCAGCTTTTAGAGTTAAATGTCATAAGCTAAAAACTGGACATTCAGGGACTGAACAATATTTTACATTTAAAAAGTTCAGACATAAGAATGTAAGCTCATTAAAAACTAAAAAAAAGATAACCAAAACAACGAATTTAGTTTTCACATACTAGGGGGTACATTTACTCTTTAATGGCATTTCTCCAGGAAACCTGGTGTTTTAATCTACTTTTAAATTCAACAGGGGCAGCAAAGTCAATACACTAAAGAGGTCAACTGAAAAATTTTAGATGTGTTTTTAAAAAAACACTGCATGTTTGAAGAGTAAGATGACACTGTCTATCAAAATCACTACACATGGTATACCATGTGACGGGCATACAGCTAAGACACTAAGGACCCCGGGCACCTTCCCACAGGCGTTGCTGCACGGCACAACTCCAAGGCGGTGACTTTCACACTTTTCTACATGAATGGTGCCCCCAGGTTGCGTTGCACACCTGAGTGGCTGTGTGCAGGAGTCCTGCTTGTAACGTTCACACAGAGCATGTCTTGGACATGATGCACTGGAGATCTCAAATGAAGACTGGAAAATCTTGTGTCACTCATATAGTTCACTTATTCAACCACAGATACCTATATACTGGTTTGAAAATAGGTTACTTACAGTACAATAGTTAATCATAAATGTGACAGAAACCACTGGCTAAACAGGAGCCCCTGATAATCTAATTACCTGAGTATGTCCTGTAAGAAGACATAAGTCTCTCCCCGCAATTTTCACTTGTATGTCCTGGATCTGAATCTACAGAATAAGAAGAGACAGGAGAAAAGAAAAAAGCATACGAAGGGAAATGCAGAATTCAACAAACCAACATTTTTCAAAAGACCACAATGATGTATCATTGTTTTTCCAAAAGATAATTTTTAAGGTAAAGCCAAAAGTACATTTCAAACACAGATGTGGCCAATACCTAAGATTTCAGTTTCTTTGATCTTAAAGTTGAAAAAGTCAACCACGTAGTTTGCAATAATAGTTATTACTGAGGTTGCTTATTAAAACATATCATCTCTTTTGAGGATATATTTTTTCAATCTCTGAATAATGATAAAAGAGGCAGTACTCTTATCACGTTTTTCTGTTTAGAATTTGTCTTTAGAAAACTTCAATAATGGACTTGCATCATTCTTTTTGTCCTATGAGTGCCAAAACTATTCAGAAGACAATAGAACATTTCGGACTACAGTATCATTCTAGACCACGGACCTTTCTATAATTTATAAACATTTCAAATAACATGAATTATTACTGACCACTACAAAAGACATCTTAGAAAGAAAGTAGCCTAAATCAAAACAAAGTTTATCACCTAAGCATATGGAATGCTGCCTAACAACTCAATAAATTAGAGAACTGACTTCTGGCAGTATGGCCAGAGCAAATAATTTTACTTACAAACAATATGCTGTTTTAACTCAACATAATGTTATTCTGATCTTCACATTCTCAATTTATTGGCTTATGGTCTTCTTTCCAGGATGATCATTATAGACATTACTCATGAGTTGTTAGGTGTAAGGAAACAAAAGTGTTGGGAAAACAACAAATTTAGAGAACAAGTAACTCCTAAACATAGTATTTGAAAAATTTAAAGATAAGCCTAAAAGTTTAGTGATGAGAAGGCTTACTCAGTCAAAGGGGAAATCATTAATAAAATAATATTTAGACCAATTCTAGAGCAAGTGGGTAAATGGACTGAATTACAAGCCTTTCAATAAACACTTATATTTCAAAATGTAACCCATTAAGTTAGCAACTAGAAGAATTCTATGAAGAATATTTGTCATTTCATTTAAAGATAAGCAAAAATTTTAAAAGGCCTCCATAGGTTGCAAAGCAAAGAAAAAGGGGCAACTAACAAGTTGCACCAACAAATCGAATTAAATGGATTATTGAAAGCAGATCATATTACTGTGACAGATGAAAGAACAGTGGATAAAATAAACTTTCAATTATATTCATTAATATAAGGAAGTAGTTTCTCCAAACCTTCCTTTGGAAGTAATTCATCCATCCAGACTCCACACACCCTTTTGGCTTTTACTCACATAAGTATGTTTATTTTGGGGGCGTCTGCATGTGTATTCTTATAAAGGTTTAATTAAGGAGCTAGAAAATTAAAAGCTTCCATATCCTGTCCTTTTACTCAACTACTTCTTCCTTCAGTGCTATACTGAGACTAGACCATAACGAGACTATTGTTATCCATGAGGTTTTTGTAAAACGCTGAGTGCTAAGCAGAGCAATTCTCTCTCCCTGATATGTTCTTGGCAGCAAGGCAAGACAAGCAATACCTATATTTTAAAAGCCATCTTTTTTGTTTTCAATTGAAGTATAGCTGATTTACAATACTGTGTTGGTTTCAGGTGTACAGCAAAGTGATTCATTATATATATATATATGTATTTTTCAGATTACTTCCATTATAGGTTATTACAAGATGTTGAATATAGTTCCTGTACTATAAAGTAAATCCTTGTTGTACAAGCCATCTTTTTAAGTTAATATTCTGTTCTGGATTGCAAGAGAATAAGAAAAATATCAAGAATGATTTTAAGAGTGTGCACTACGTTTGAAAATTTTTATAATAAAATATCAGGGAAAGGGACTGAGTAAATCTATAATAAATAATCACCACGAAGAGCACCAAAAGAGGACTATCCTTATTAAGCAAAGCACTAATTTTATCTGCTACTTTAACACAGTTACCAGAAAAATTACATATGTTTTCTATTTTTAAAAAAGTTTTCCTCTCCAAATTTGCTTGCGTCATTAAATAGGATAAATCCTTTAATGGCATCCAAAGCCTCGGGAAAGTAGGCCTTCTACGGCTGGCTGGCAGAGATTTAGTTCAAAACATCTGAACATACTCTACAACTGCGACCACGGACTTTGGGAACAGATCATATTGTGTCTCTTTACATTTTCTCCTACCACATTTATTTACATATTACTTAATGCCACAAGAAAAAAATCAGTAAGGAAATAAATAATGCCTATTAAGAAGAAACAAGTATTTTTTAAAAAGTAAAGAGTTGTATTTTTTTTACTTATCTAAACATGCAAACTAAAATAAAGTACTACTGGTTTATCCCTATAGATACTTAGAGCTAATATCAAACCTAAAGAAAGACAAGTGCCATGATGTTATCTGAGATTAAAGAACATAAATATACTGCTGGAGCCTTTACAACTATGTGTAACTATTTTGAAGAAACGTTATAGGAACGTTTTACCCTTTTAACCCTGTAAACCTACTCTTGGGAATGAAGAAGAAAGAAAAAGTTCAGAGTATAATAAAAATACAATCTGCAAAGATGCTCTATGGCATTACTCACAACAAAATAATTGCAAATTTAGTCTGGAGGCTAATAAGAGATTCACTCATGTGTAGCCTCAAGATAACTGCTCAGTACTTTCAAGTTAAGGGATTGTCATGGCATCCTTTGGATGCCATTAGTCTTGGAAAGAAAATAAGTACGATTTTATGACGGATAGTGTAGGGA